GCCTCTCAGCTGTTGAAGACATCACGGGGCCCAGGCCTCCTGTCTTCCCGTCCAGAGTCACCTGTACTGCACCGCAAGACATCCCCCCTTTATAGAGAGGCTGCTTTTTGTGTGAGGTGGTTATACAACTGGGAGTTACTAACAACTGCAGCTAAAAATGTAATAGAGGCAGATTAGTGCTGATAGGAATAGAAGGTGTAACCCTCAGCTTTAGAACTAAATTAGTAGTTCCCACGTTCTCTTAAAGACTCGGTGACTTTGCTGTGCTGCGACTGCATAAGCTCCCACCCTGCTCCTAGAGAAGTTACCTAAGAGATGCAACCAGGCCAGTCCTCGGACCACATCCAGGCAGTTACATGTTTGCTTGATCTAGGGAAAGATGCACACGAGGCTGGCATTCCGCTAGGCTCAGTTGGGGTAAGGGTATGCTGACGTCTGCAGCTCAGGAAGACTTTATGGAAAGAATTCAGCTACCAAGTTCAAGTACCTTGAGCATCAAATAGTATATGGTGAGGGAGGCAGCCCTTGCAGGGGAGACAGAGGTTCAAAACAGTCTGCTTGCGGACAGAGTGAGGTAGCCAGCTTCCTCCCTCCGGCACCCGGAGAGGGGACACATCCAGTAAGCCCGCGTTTCCTTCCTCCCAGGTGCTGCCCCGTACCTGAAGACCAAGTTTATCTGTGTGACACCGTAAGTGGTTTCTCTTCCCAATTTTGCCCTCATTTCTAATGTCCTCAGTTATCCCGGGAGTAGGACACTGGGTGAGAGTTACCCTGTGAACAGCTGGATGGCCCTGGGCTATATTTACTACTCAAGTGACCTTGTGTGTTTAAGAAGCTTGAGCTTTTTATTTTTCTGTTGGAGACCAGAGTTTGATGGCTTGTGTGTGTGTGTTTTGTTCTTTTTTTTTTTTCTCCATTGTGTCTTGTCAACCCGGCCCTTTCCCCTCCTGCTGCTCCCCATTTCCTACAGAACGACCTGCAGCAATACCATTGACCTGCCGATGTCCCCCCGCACTTTAGATTCATTGATGCAGTTTGGAAATAATGGTGAAGGTGCTGAACCCTCAGCCGGAGGGCAGTTTGGTGAGTATTTAGCTGACAGACTTTGTCCTTGTGAGGGAAGTGGGTCCCTTTTGTGTGCTGCTCCCGTGGACAGAGCCAAGAGCTGGTTGTGCAGATTGGTAGGAGGAAGTTCTAGAACAGTGCTCTCCCATAGAAACAGAACTCGTGCCACATGTAGAAGTGTGAATTTCCTAGTAGCCACCTTAAAAACTGTAAAAAGAAACAGGTGAGGTTAATTTTAATACTGTATTTTATTTGACCCTATAATAATAATGTATTTTATTTAATAATGTATTTTATTTGACTAGCATTTCAACATGTAAGAAAAAAATCAGTTTTTCCATACTGAGTCTTTGATATCTGCGGGGTGTTTTACATCTACAGCCCAGCTCTATTTGGACTAGTCACATTTCAAGTGCTTAGTAGCCACCTGTGGCTCCAGGCTGCCACAGTCAGCAGGGCAGGCTTAGACCTTCAAACACGGAGAACTGGGAATGAGTTAAGGTAGGAAGGAGAGTGAGCCTCTCCAGAGGGCAAGACTCTATAGGGAAGAGAATAAATCTGGATTCCTCAAACCTGTCCTGGCCACGAGGGGCAGGAGACTGATGGCAGCAGTGGCCTGAGCCTGTGCCCTGGAGGGCTAGGGGTGTGCCCCTGCCAGCTACAGGGCTCAGGCGGCTGAACTACCCTCCCTGTCTGTGCCTCCAGAGTCCCTCACGTTCGACATGGAGTTGACCTCAGAGTGCGCAACCTCCCCGATGTGAGGAGCCGGAGGCGGAAGCTGCAGAGAGATGGCAGAGGCGCCTACCTGTGTTCCACCACCCTTAAGCAGCCAGACCCCAGATCATCTGAGACTCCTAACTTTGTGGTTCCAGATTTTTTTAAATCTCCTACTTCTGCTATCTTTGAACAATTTGGGCACTTTTTAAAATCGAGAAATGAGAGTGTGGGTGATATGCTTTTATCTAAATGCACATAAGAATGCATTCTCTGAGACTGTGATCAGGGGATGTGGAAGTGGTGACAAGAGAGAGAGAAAGGAAATGTCTTTTATATTTTTTTGCTCCCCTGCTCTCCTTTCTCAGCAGCTTGTAGTTGTTAGGCAGGTGCTCCTGGTGCCAGCGGCATCCTTTGGCCTGTCCCTGAGCTAATGCCACATGCCCCTGGCCTTGCACTTTTAACCTTGCTAACGTCCAAATAGAAAATAGGACTTTCAAAGCCCCTAGGTTTCTTTTTAAATTAAAAAAAAAATTAAAGGGCAAAAAGCCCTGTCTTGGCATAGCCATTTCTGTATTTAAGAAAACTCAGTTAATAGCCTCCTTGGTGCTTTAAGCATTCAGCTCTCTTCAGGCTGATAATTTATATAAACCTTGAAATGGGCCTCAGAACCAATCCATAAAAGATATCTGAAGATGTGGCTTGGCCCTTGGTTTTGAAATGGGAAGGTTAAAGGAAAACCTAAACATTCTAGACTTTTTTTTAACAAAGTTTTTATTTTCCCCTTTAACGTGTTGGGCTATTAGTAGGTAAGGCTGGGCAGAGGGGCGCTTACAACCCATCCTCCCTCTCTCCCTATCTCAGAGCCTGGGTGTTCCTCTGGGTGCCTTATAAGGGACGGGATGACCCTTCCTTCCTCCCGGCCCACTTGACCCCCTTTTGGCATGGCTTCTTCATGTGTCTGAAGGTCCCTTGTCCTGTTTGCTTTAGGAATCCTGGTCTCAGGACCTCCTGGAGTAAGAGACAGAGCGTTACGGGTTGAACATGACTCAGACTGTGGGGCCCCAGTCAAGGTCTAGTTGAACTCAGGGAATATGGCTCTTATCCCAGTTTCTTGGTGATTTCCTATGGCACCTATAATCACTTATTCACTTGGTTAACCCAGGGCAAAGGCTTACTGATAAATCCAAGGTCTGTCCCTTGTGTGAGGGAGTCATACCCCGGCCTCCCCGTTGGGGCCCCACAGATGAGGTAGAACACCTCAAATTTACTGTGTGTTTCGGATCACTTAGTAGCATGTGAGCTGGTCTCCGATATTTGGGCCTTTTCTGACCCAGAAGCATAGCTAGATTGGGGAGGTCCAAAACCACTTTGTCCCAGTTGGTCAGAGTTTCTCTGGAATGCTATTTGTTTTATCCAGATGAGCCAGCTTCTCAATTTAGGGTATGCCCGTGGCCACCCTGTCCTCTTGCTGGCAACAGTAGAGGGGAGTATAGAGCTCTCCCTTCTCCAGCAACACTCTTCAGTTCATAACAAGCTTAACTCATAAAGAGAGAAACGGTTTAGATCAGAGGGACTTGGGACTAGGATCCAGGCTTCTGGAGCAGATACTGTAAAGTTCGTGACTGAGGTAGCATGTGTATCTGGTTTTAACTCTGATGGTAGCAGAAGTTCTCAGAGGAGCTGAGACTTGTTCTGGCCCCTCCCTCCCCTTAAAGAACCAAGTCCTCGGGGACCTGTCCTCTTTCTCTCCAGTCTCCCCTGCCCGACCCCAGCCCAGCCATGGATTGCTTAACCTACCTAGACGGTGGTTTGTAAGCCACTGTTCTGGCCACTGCATCAGATTCCAGTGTATACTTTACAGTGTAAAAATTTATATTATTGTGGACTATTTTTTTTTTTGTATATTGCTGTATCTACTTTAACTTCCAGAAATAAAAGTTATATAGGAGCTGTCTGATGGTGCTGTGGCGCTGTCTCTGGCTGGTGGAGGTGCCTTTTTCCCTGCCTCAGGTCTGAGGGGGGCCCTTAAGCCTGGGTCTTAAGAGGAGGTGGTTGCCCCCACCCCAGGGTTGGTGGCCTTAGCCGGCCTCTGGGGCCCCCGAGCACCCCGCATCTCTTGTTAGCCACCAGCCTCCAGGTAAGAGGTCACTGGAGGAGTTGGGGTCATGGAGCCTCCCTCCTGCCCCCTCCCTCCGGGGGCCTCTGCCGGCTGCGGTGTCCTGTCTGGAGTCCGATAAGCTACCTAAGGGGGCTTGGGGGGTAGATACCCCCCACCCCCAAGGCCTCCCTGCCACAGTTGGCTGCTTTATCGCTGGGACTTCAGTTCACTCAGCGGGGATGAACTTAACCGGCTGCTGCTGCGCCGGGCGGTCTGTGGTGATAATTCAGAGACATCAACTCGCCCACTCGGCTTTCTCCCCACCCCCTCCCCCTGTGCCAAGCGCCGTGGAGACGAGCAGGCGGGTGAGATAGCAGCCGCCTTCCCCGGCAGAGATGGGAGGGGAGATTAGTGCGCTCGCCGGCGGCCGCCTCCCTCCCTGGCCACCCCCGCAGGCCCCGCTCTGGGCCCCCCTGCGTCTCCTTGGGGCGGCTGCAAGCCCCTCTTCCCTTGCTTTGAGCTCTGAAGAAACCTCGTCAGCAGGTCCTTGCTCCCCAACACCCCCTCCGCTCCGCACGGGCCCTAGTGACAGCCCCTGGATTTGGGGCACCTTGGTGCCACGGGGTCCACGTCGGGAGACTGGCTCCTCTCTGCCCCAGCCTCCCAGTCTCAGGCCAGCCCTTTGAAAACACAGTGGCAGTGGGATGGCGCCACCTGCTGGCCTCTGGAGAAGAGGCCAGGAGAGGAGAGACGTTTATGAGGCGCTCCGGCCGCCGCTGGCCCGGGAAGGCTGAGAATCTCGGCACTGGGCCCTCAGCTGCCAGCTTCAAGGTCTCTTCTAGTGACAGCCGATAAGGAGAGGCCGGGACCACAGTTCTTCCCGCTCCTTGTGCCCCTCACCCTCGTAGTTCCTGACCCATTTCCCCCAAGACCGTATGTCCTAGGTCTAGTCGTATGAGAAACACCGACCGCTATTCCGCGGGTGCAGGGTCAGGCAGGCTTAAAACAGAAGAGAGCAGAGCCCCTGCTACACATCACAGCTTCGGCATGCGGGAGGGAGGGAGCCAAACAACTCCAGCCCCCCTGATCCCCCTTACCCAGGGCTCCCCAAACCAGCACATTTATGAAAAAAATATTTTATTCAAAACACCATTTACTCAAATGTGTGGCCTATGTACAAAGTACAAAAGAATCCCTCTTCTTGTTCCCAACTTCTCTCAGAGATGTTAAAACCTGGGACTCCCAATCTTTCCACTGCCAGCTGCCCCTGGCTCGTGTCATGTCATAGCCTCAGAGGGAGCAGCACATTGGGTTTGGAGCAAGGCCTTCTCAGACCACAGTTATGCAACTGCTGTTCCAGGCACACCTCCCAGCTGAGAGGAACGAGATCAGCTTGTACCCCTCAGTCTAGATTCTGCAGACATGCAGCAAGCTGCTGATTTGCTGCTTTTCTGCCAAAGGTTTTTTCCAGGAAAGTAGGGGATCACCCACCATATCCTAGACCAGTCCCTTCCCTCCCACCTCTCCTGGAAGCAAGGTTGAAGACAGGTGAGGAAAGAAGGCTAGGGCCAGGAAGAGGGGAGGGGATGGAGAGAGTGGGAGTGTGGGCACGGGCATCAGAGATTTGAAGCCCAGGCCCCCTGGCTGGAGGCCAAGAAGCCAAGAAACCACGTGTTCAGCAGCTTCGACAGGCCCAACTGCCTATTTCTGCTGGTAGAGATGTGGCTGCAGTCTAGGTAAGCTCTCAGTTAACAAGAAGGCTGGAACCCATTTTCATTAAAGTATAAAATACCCAACATTGAACTCTACATCCCTCCTGAGGGAATCAATAGACCAACATGTCCCCGAGCACAGATGCATGTACATCAATGTGTGTACACACTTGGGAGGGGAAGCTTCTCACTCAGGAGTAAAACTGAAGTTGAGAGAGGTTACCCATCTCCCTTCCTTCTTGAATAATTTCATTCAATAGCTGCTGAGCAGGTAAAGGTCCCGGCAGGAATAGGCCTGCCTGCACCGAGTACTTGCAACAACAGAAGCTCTGTCTCTTCTGCAACAGAAGCAGACCCATGGGTTCCTGGAATGCCTTGATCTGAAGAAAAAGGCAGCAGCTTGCTGCTGCAGCCACATACCCAGAATGGCAAAACCGAGGCAGGCGCACCTGTGCAGCACATACACGTGCCACCTGCAAAGGCGCCAATACGCACAGCAATACTAAAATCACAACTACTATGACCCCTTCCCATTGAGGACTGTTTCCAAAGAAAAGTGTGGGACTCAAACATTCAAGAAAGTGAGCCTCTGGCAGAGGTGAAAAGACTAGTAGGTGGGGAGAGGCGGGCATCCAGACTGTCCATGGGGCGGCGTAAGAGCTCCTCCACATGCCGGGCGACATCCATGGTTTCGTCCAGGTCGAACTCTCCGTCCTGATCGAGGACGGGGTCAGGGCTGGTGGAGAGAGGGATGTCAGAGGGAGCTGGCCTGCCTCGCAGCTCCTGGCCACTTAGACCAGAGTCTCACGAGCACAGGAACCAGCCCTGGCCAGACTTCTTCACTCCATGATAGTCAGTCAGTCATTGGCTGGATAGGAGACCCTGGAGCCCTAGTCTCATCTCTTGCTACCTCACTGAGTGATCGCAGGGAGTTCACTGCCCCTGTGCCCGTCCTCATCTGTAAAACCAGGTGGTCGGGTCACTGGGCTCTGCCCACTGCACAGCTACTCCATTAAATCATAGGCACAATTCCCTCAGCACTGACCACTGCTGGGCCTTTTAACCACGTTCCTCTAGTCCTCAAGTCCACCTGTAAGACAGGTATCAACTCTGTTTTAGAGGAGGAAAGGAAGGTTTGACAACGTTAGGAAACTTGCTCAGGGCCACCTAGCTAGCAAGTGGAGTCAGGGTTGGAATTCCAGTCTTTGTGACTCCCAAGCTTATGACTGTCCCACTTGTACCTCCTGGGCACCCAGACATCCAACCCAGGCCACCCACAGCTCAGAAGAGAATTAATTCTCTACCCTGGGAGCTCCAGAGAAGAGGAATTGATACCATGTTCCCACCCAATTCCTAAGACTAACCACCCAGCCCACAGCTACCCCATATCAAGACCTTAAGTAGCTCACCTGTGCTAAATGCTTTACCTGCCTGCACTTTCTCACTCAATCCTGACCCCAATACTCTGTGGCAGGTGTTCTTGCTTCCTTTTTACAGATGAGAAAACTGAGCATCAGAGATGCTCAAAAATTTTCCCAAAGTCACAGGTAGTCAGCACAAGAGCAAGGACCCTGCTATGTGTAGCTTCAAAACGCTCTATACATTTTACTGGCTCCATCTCTCCCTCCCTTCACCTGGGCACCTGCCAGAGCCCAGCCTGGGCTGGGTGGCCTCAGGCCTAAGGAGCTCTGGATTTCTTTGCCCAGTGGCCCTCTGAGGGGCCAGCCTGAGGCCAAGCGCCCAGGCCCTCCCCACAGAGCCCCAAAACACGACCTACTTCTGTGGGAACATGTTATAATGAGCCTGGGGGCACACGGCTGGGGAGGGGGCCTGGTCCATGTAGGTGGCGCTGCCCCCCGCAGACTCTGCAGATGCGCTCACAAACCTGCAGAGGAAGCAGAGCAGGGCCTCAGCTGCCTTGGGGAGGGGCTCAGGGGGCATCTTTATGTCTTTTCTGGGGATAGAAGGGGCTGTGGCTGCAGGAGTGGGGCCCTGGGTACTGCCCCGTGGTGACTAAGCCCAGTTCCCTCCCCAGGCTGAGTGGGGTTTTGGGGAAAGGGCAGGCTGGGCACACTGGGCCCGTGGATGGGAGGAGCAGCAGAGTGGGGTGAGGAGCCGGGGGGACAGAAGAGGCAGCAGGGGGCCAGAGCTGGACCCTGGACACTTACTCAGGGACCACTTGCTTGATCTGTGGCTTCACATATCCGTCCACTGCTTTAGCTGCCCAGGGGGGAACGGTAATGAGAAACAAAGTCTTTGGGAGCTCCCCAGGGGGTGGAGCCCACCTGCGCGGTTGGCTTCCCACCCAAATCGCTGTGGGGCCTCAGCAAGGATAGGACTTCCCAGATTCCCAATGAACACCCGCTGTCAGACCCAGCCTGAGGGCCACCCAGACCCCTGGCTTCAATCTCATCCCTTCTCCTGGCTCCTTTGCTGGCTCTTGCTTTCTCTCCCTGCCCTGCCTCTGACAAGGAAACAGAACCCACAACAAGGAGCAAACCCAGCCAATGGACTGGGGACAGATCAAGGAGGAAAAACCCGTCCATTTTGCCTCCTACACTCAACTTGGGGGCAGGTCCGAGGGAGGGAGTGGTGGGAGTAGTTGATTAGGACAGGAGTACTGTATTATCTGTGGGTTTGAATCATCCCAGCTCCCTCCCAGCACTGCAGCCTCTTAATTCAAGGGCACAGGAGTGAGAGCCACTCAGTTCTCCACCTTGCCGAGAAAGCTGGGTCAGAGATTTTGTTTGCCCTCACCTCACCTCAACTGTGAGCCCTGAAATCCTCTCTGCATGCTTTGCACCATCCCATGGACCAAAACCCACAGGGCCAATGGCCCCTGGGCTCTGCTGGGGGAAGCCTCTCTGCTGGGCCCCCAGAGCTCCATCCACTGGCAGAGGGGTATCGTGGTAGGACGTACCGAGCACAGGAGTGTAGTACTTGGAGAAGACCTCATCCTTCGGCCGGTCGGGAAACACATAGATGAGATAGTTCAGGTCCCCCAGCCGGTCGGCCAGGGACCGGATGGAGAAATCCCTTGTGGTGAACGGCTTCAGGTTCCACAGGTTGCGGTCAGCTGTGAAAGGACAAGCTCATTCCCACAACCCACCGCCATCAGGAAAAGAATCAGGGGTATGGGGTTTGAGAGCTACAGGCTTGCAGAGGCATCCAAGCTTTTATCAGCGTGCACTGCAGCCCCACCCCTGTGCTCCTCGGCATAGGACAAGGAAATGACCCTGGGCACACTCTACCCAGCAACCAGGCGAGTAGATGCTGACAAGGCTGGGTCAGGGCAGAGAAGGAGGAGCACGCAACTGCTGCAGGACTCACCCAGCAGTTCTGCAGGCTATGGGGCCAGTGATTTTAGCTTCTACAGAATGGAAAACGATAGAGAGGGCATGTATTTCTGAGCAACACCTCCCGCATCCAGAGCTCAGTCCCTATCTTTCCCACTGGGTGTCTCCTAAGATTGCAGGTCTGATGGCGAATGGGGAGTAAGGAAATGGGAGACAGGGCCATTGTGACTACAGTGTAGGCAAAATGGGGCACTCACGAGAGTCAAATTTCCAGGCAATGGTGATGCCCCCAATTTCCGAATCACTAAAGCGCAACAAGAAGGTCCCATCTGGCTTGTTGATGAGCAGATCATGGGCCTGCTGCTTATTCACAAAACCTAGGATGGCCCTGGGGGCACGGAACATACAGTGTCGCTGCTGGTCCAGCAGTCGCTGTCCCTGGAGCCCGTCTCCTCCCAACCCCCGTGCCCCCCATTCCTCACCCATCATTCCAATGGGGCTTGTGATGCTTCTTCAGCACCTCCATGACCCCGTCAAACCACTGCCAGAAGGTGTAGTTCCAGCCTGGCAAGTTCTCCTGGGAGCGCCCAGGAAACCCCCAGTCAGGGCTTGCACCCCATCATCACAGGTGGCCCCGGAGACAGTGCCCTCCTTTCCTCACCCAGACTCTCTCCCACTCCTCACCCTGTTAGGCCCCCACTCCAGCAGTCCATGAACTGACCCAGCCCCCAACCTGTATCCGAGGCAACCAGAGAGAACCCTAGCCCCTTGCCTCTCGGGCTCGGGGTCCAAGGCAGTCCCAAGGTAGGAGGTGCAAGGAATTGTCCCAGCTGGACGAGACCTCTAAAGTCACCCCTGCCCAACCCCTTCATTTTACAGCTCAGGAAACTGGTGCAGAGAAGGGATCGGGTAACACAGGTAGGACAAGAGTCCACGGGTCCTGACTCCCAGCTCAGGTTACCTCCACCACCCTCGTTTGGCTCTCACAGCTGGGGGGCTTCTGGCAGCCCCTGCCTCCACTCCTTGGAGCACTGGCCCCATCTCTCCTGCCTGGGGGTGGAGGGTGGGTGCTGGCCGAGGGCAGTGCCTGTCTGTGGGGTGGGGGAGGGCTGGCAGGGGGCAGGTGGTGCCCTCACCCTGTTGAACTGGGACCAGGACACGGACATGCCGCTGTAGTCCTCCAAGTGGCCGCTGCTGCTGTTGAACAGCTTCTGCGCCAGGAACACGAGGTTCTCCTTGGTCAAGCCCCGGCTGCTCTGCACTTCGGCCTTGAATTTCACGTTGAGCGCTTCACACAGCTGTGGCCACAGCACTTTGTCAGGCACGGCAAATGGCACCCTGCCCTGAGAGGGACAGAAGAAAGGGGGGAAAAACGGCAGATTGAGGGAGTAGGAAATGTTCACACACCAACAAATACACACACAGATATACAGATACCAAGAGACAGAGGAGACTGAGAAAGATCCAGAAAAGGAGAGACAAACACTAGGGAAAGAAAGGCAGGGGGACCAGGGCAGAGAGTGGGCATTCAGGGATAGCCCAGGCCAGGGGGCTGAGGACAGAGATCAGGGACCCAAGTCACAGGCCAAAGGAACACCAGAGAGTGGAGCCCAAAGACCACATTCACAGACCTACGAGACACCAGTCCCAAGACGCAGAGCCCCCGTGGAGCCCAAGGACACGCCAGGGGAGGGTGTACATGCCAGCTGTCCTTCCCCCACCGGCTCCCTCTGGTCTGGGCCGGGGCTCCTGGGGACTACTCAGCAGGGGTCTCCGGGTTGGGGCTGACCCTGGGAGACTCCTAGGGCCTCGGGTCCCACGGGCACTCACCGGCTCAGCAAAGGCATTGTCCCACAGCACGGTGGCGGTGGCATTGTGGTCCTGGCTGCCATGAACGATGACAACCACAGGAAGGGACAGGGTCTATGGGGGCCAAAGGAATGAAAATAGAGGGCACATGGCCCTCATCTAGCCCCCCCACTTAGGCAAGACTCCCAACCTTCATTCCTCAGCCCCAGTTCCAGCCACAAGCCCCTCCCAATAGAACCAAAGCAAAAACAAACACATTTCCTGCCCACTAAGGTCTATGGGCATGTGCCAGGTTATAACGCAGCAAACGGGCACCAACAGTGGGTTTTCTGATAGCATCATCAGGTGACCAGTCTGACCCTGAGCCTTCAGAGCGCTCTGGCTTCCCAAGCCGGCCGGGGCCTCAGGCAGGTCCCGGCCATTCTGGGTCACCTGTCAGGGGTGGGAAAGCGGGGCCTCACCTTCACCTGAAACACAAGCTCATTGCTGCCAACACTGAACTGAGACTCAAACAGGACTGTGAACTTCTCCTCTGTCACGGACTCTGCGCCACGCCGGTCAGCACGCTTGATCCTCTTTAGTGACTATAGAGCAGGAGGTCAGAGGGGGTCAAGGAGACGGCGGCTGGTTACAAGGACTCTGCTCCAGGCAGAGGGGCCAGGCCCCATCCTCACCATGTTCCTGAAGTGGGCGCTGAGGGTGCCTGTGGCTTGGTGATACTCCATCACGCAGCAGTTGTTCAAGATCTCTCCGCTGCACTCGCTGTGAAGGAGAGGGGAGCTGCGTGTCCAAGCAGGCCCCAGGCCAGGAGCATGGTCCTGCCGGCGCCTTGGGCCAGGGGTCCTCACTCCAGAAAGCCCTGCTCCATCCCTGAAGAGTGCTCCCCAGTGTGTCTCTGGGATTACTTTCCCATCAACCTGAGGGCACCCAAGAAGAGTGTTCGAGGGTGGGTCTGAGACTCTGCCATTAGGCTGTAAGTTCCATAGGCACTGAGATTGATGCAGGGGCCTTTGGGGACCTCTGGCGGCTTCTGGAGCATCTAAAATAAAAATCATGACCAGGGCCTACAAGGATCCCCACGATCAGCGCCTCCCTGGCCTCTCTGGGTTCCTCTCCTCCCAAGACATGTGAGCCACACTGCCTCCTGTGTTTCTGAACATGCAAGCTTGGTGCCCCCTCAGGACATTTGCATTTGCTCTTCTGCCTCCCCAAACACTCCTGACCATTTCATTCATACTCGACTCAAGGATCTCCTCAGAAAGACCCTCCTCAGCCATCCATGTGGTACAATGTCTAATGTTTATCCAGACACTCTGATATCACTCTATTTTAATTTTCTTTCTGGAGTCAATCACTTTGTGACACTGCCTTATTTTCAAAAGAATATGACTATCTCCCTACCTGGCCAAAACATGGGTTCTGGGAGAGTGAGAACCCCTCTGTCTTCATCATCTAATGCCCAGATTCTATGGCAGGAACTCAGGACACAGGGCCAAGCCTCCCACTTGACTCATTTGCTCCCTTATTCATTCATTCGCCACACCCTTTAGGGGTGACTGCCCTGACCTCTGCACCCTGTGCCTGCGTTCC